CAAGAACTTCTGTGAAGGCTTATCAGAGCTGTACCGGCTGACACCAACATCTTTTCAGGACTATGGTGCTATCTGGAAGTGCTTCGTGAACAAATCTCACCATCTTGCCATCAAATGCATGTTTATAAATGTGCTTGCTGGTAGAGATGTTTTTTAATGTCTTAAATAGTGTTCTGACAAGGACAAGGTGTGAAGAAATCTTTTTTGTAATACCACTATCCTATCCTCATGGTCTTTTCCCCTTTTCTATCTAAACAGTATTCTGAAAAAGAAAAGGGGGCCACGCTGTGAAGGAGCAGCAGTAACGTGCACTCGGCCCATCTTTCGGACAACTGTACGAACATAATCTCACTTTATTTTGGTACAATGATAATAAAGCTTATTCTGATTCTGATTCTCAAACCAACAAAAAAAATCACAAGAAACTCACGTCAGATGTAGGTTCCACTTCGATTTGAAGTAAAGGGTTTCCCTCATTCCTAAAAGCAAGAACAAAATTGAAACTAAATTAATATGAGTGAAAGTATGAGCATACAAGACATTCCTAACAGTGTGGGTTTTTCTGACTGCAGTGGTTTTTGTTGTAAAAATGACCTCATCGGCTGTATTGGTGGGAAGTTTGACAGTTGTTACACCTTCTGAGAGCAGAGGCAGTAAACAAAGGAGTGACATGCTGGTAGTAGACAGCAATAACCTAACCTTAAACAAAAATGATGGTAGAGTTTCACTCATACTCTTAAATTTTTGAGATTCAAATGTGTAATTTTCAGATAAAAGCTATTCAGCAGCTCTTTGTAAAGTTCATTTTAAGTAATGTCAATGTAATCTTACATAAGTGCATATATTATTGTGTGAATGTTGATGCAGGGTTCACAACATTGTTTTGCTGTTTAGCTTAGTTTAGGTTTTTTTCCATACATTCTCTGCAATCTATTTATTATTATTATTATTATTATTATTATTGCATGCTTTGTGTGATTTTAGCTATTCGTACATCCAGCGTTTGGCTCATTCAGTTCAATTCTGTTTATTTATATAGTGCCAAGTCACAAGTGAAGTCATCTCAGGGCACTGAACAAATACATTCATATACATTGTAAAAACCAATTAGTAAGTTATTTATTTAAGGATGTCAGCAGATTGTGTTGAATCTTCTCTTCACAGTCTCCCATCCTGAGCAAGCACAAAGGAGACAGTGGGAAGGAAAAACTCCCTTTTAACAGGAAGAAACCTCCAACAGAACCAGGCTCAGGACGAGTGACCGTCTTCTTTGATCAGCTGGGGTTTGGAAGGTGATGCTGCTAGTTTTGTTTTTTATAACCTTTGTACTTTTGAAAACATTTAACTTTAAACAATATCTCAAGAGAGACACAGAAAAGCAATTTGTTTGGTTCACAACCTCTTTAGGTCCTTGAAAAACATTATTGCTTTATTTTTGACTTGTGCTTTTAGCTAATCTTTTTAATTTTAGCTAGCATTTAGCTACTTCTCACTTTTAAATACAGAGTGTCTAATTTTATCTTTAACTAACTTTTTGATGCTTTCAGGTAGCATTTTGCTACAGTTAGCTAACTTTTTTCTTTTAGCCTGTGCTTAGTTTTTTTTTTTTTTTTACTTTTTTAGCTAGTGTTTTTATTAATTTGACACCCAGAGTTCAAATCATTTGGACTTTACCTGACAGATGTTTTAAAACAACTTTCAGCATCAACACATTTGTATTATTTTATTTTAATAAGTAAGATTTGACCTATTTAGATTAATGTATATGAATGTTAGAGCCTTTTTTGCTTTTGTATGGAAATGTAATCTGTGCTGTTGTTTTATCCTGATCAACCCCGCTCCCAGCACTGATTGCTGATTGATTGCACCTGCACCTGATAAACTCTTAAGAGGTCTGACTTTTGAATCGGTTAATGTTGAAGAACGTTTGAAAGGCTGAAATATTTGCTGTTATACTTCCAGTGATGTGTTCTGTGCACCAGAATGCAATTAAATAAATATGCTGCAAAGAAAGATTTGATCTGAGCTGAGTGGAACGAGACTAAAGCTGCCTCTGAGCGAAAAACCTTTTCAGTCTACTTCTAGAAAGACACCAAAGACCAGCTATCGCAGTGATAGAAATCCTTTCGTTAAATCCAAGGTTCATTTATTGAAGCCACGTCAGTGATTTTGAAATGAGACATTTTTGCAGTTTCAGACTAATTCTGCAATTTAAATCAACATCAGAATGAGTCTTTTCTGGCACTGCAACATGACAAATAACAGAACTTTAAAGTTGCACCTTTTGTTTATTACCCGCTGACCACCGTATTTTTCAGCCTATAAAGTGCACCTGTTTTTATACATAAGGCACACCGGATTGTAAAGCGCATTAAGCAAAACGAACGGTCAGATAGGTCAAACTTTATTCAACTCATTCACAATAACTCTCAACATCATTCAGTTATCGGTTCGAGATCAGTAAGCACAACCAGAATTAATACATAAGGTGCACCGGATTATAAGGATCCCTGTCGATTTGTGAGAAAATTAAAGGATTTTAATTGCACCTTGTAGTCCGAAAAATACAGTAAGTGGGTAATGACTATGGCTTTAACAGACTACTCAAGTAATCTACACATCGATTCCTAGGACATCTATCGAGTTTTTTTATTTCACGTCGAGTATTCGTGGCGACGTCATTACGCTGCCGTTACGTCATTGTGTCATGTGATCCTCACTGGGCGTGGGTTACAAAATGGATTCCTCCAAGCAGACAGATGGAGCGGAGCAGGCCCAGTCTTGGCAAACAGGTAGAAATGCATCAATAGTCTGGAAATATTTCACTAAAGATGAATATTCCAGTTCAACTACCGTAAGAAAACAGAAAATGAATCAACTTCCTGACTGTTTGGAGCTTGGTGCGAACTGGTGTTGCAACATATTCTGTAACCACCGTATATTGTGACCGTAGGGGGCGGTGTTGTATGCACTGTTGCAGGTCACAGAATATGGTGTAACACCGGGTCCAATCGACCGAACCAGAACCAGCTTTCTTATGACCTTGTTTCACAAACTAAAAGCAAAAAATATTAATCTCTAAACCTATTTAAAAAAACTATAAACATATTAATCTCTAAAACTAAACCTAATGCGCACCACAGCTGGCGGTGGTGCGGGGTGGTCGTCCGCCCCACTGTTTTTAGTTTCGTTTTTGACGTACCGCACATTTCTTTAACTTTTGCAGTTTAATAATAAAAACTTAATAGTTTAGTTTTTCCTGTGACTTATTTGCTGTATGATAAATGGTAGGAGCATAAATATACACTCCCAATGTTTTGTTGGTCTTTTTTTTTTTGTTGTAAATAATGACCTTTTTCGCAGTTTTATTCATTTATTTATTTTTGTATCTTTAGATCCTATGATGTCATCAAGTATTTGAGTTCTACTCGAGTTTTATTATGTTAAAGTCAAGTTTAAATTATGTAGTCGTTCAACCCCTAGTAATGATTGTTTTATACCGATGTTTGTCTGTAGTGTTAGCAAAATGTATCTCAAACCACTGGATGGATTTTAATAAAACTCCCAAAGTAATCACTGGATGAACATTTACCACTGTATAGTCTTTGAAGTCAAACACTCAAGGTGGTCACACAGCTCAACAACTTTAGGAAAAACTAAAATGGCCGTTACTAAGTCAGTATCACAGATATTGAGTTAATTTCATTGGGGAGTGGTGGCGCAGTGGTTAGATAAGGTGGGCCTGTGATTGCAAGATCGCCGGTTTGACTCCCCGGACCGACAACGTCAAAATGTGGGTGGAAAAGGTGAAACTCCCTCGCCTGCCTCCGTCCTCACCTGCCCCACCCTGGGCCCTTGAGCAAGGCCCTTAACCCCTACCATCAACTCCCAAACAGGTCTCCCTTGAAAAGGAGTCCTAATGACTCAATGAGACTATCTGTATAAATGAAGGTTAAATAAAATAATAAAATAATTGTGATATTAGCTAAGATCCCCAACACATGCTCCAAGCGTGACATCTTACAATATACATGTTGGGCTTTTAATTTGATAATTTAAAAGTTTTATTCATCTACTTAAGCTTTATTTTCATTTACTGGTACTATTTTTTGGTGTGTGTGTAAATTGGATAAAGGTATTTCTTTGAACAAATCAAGTACTAACGACTGCGTTGCTCAGATCACAGTAAGAAGACGCACTGAGCTTCAGTAAATCATCTGAAGTGGCCCACAGACGCCTAAAAGAACAATGACATCAATGACATCAACCAGATTCATGGTGAAACTGTGAAGAGAATGAAATGGAAGAAACAGCCTTTTCTGACCTTGATTTTTTTAATCTCTTGTCATTTTATTACTTTAAAGTGCATTTTCACCCTGAGGCCCCATTAATTTTTGACCTCAGCGTGTACATTGTCACCTACATACACAGTGGGTGGTAGTGACATAACTAAAATGAACCCTCTTCTTTTTTCCAACCAGCCCACTTTGGTCCACACATTTCACTCTGTTACATTAGCCTGTAACCTCGAACAATTTCTTTGTGCTACATTAAAACTTGCTCACAAAGAAGCCCTGGACTCTGAATACTATCTACAGGTGAGACAACTCATAAAATAATGTGATACCTGCTGCGTCAAGGTCTCCTACCTAGCGCTTCGATCTCTACTCTAATGAGGGAATCCTGCAGGGCGTTGAGGTTTGAAACAGACCCTCATTAACCCTGGAATGAGGCCATTAAGGCCAGAGAAATCTTCTACCTGCTACCACAGGAGCATACAAAGATGCAGGTAAGGAGGAACAATAACATTAATCAGAATAAAATATGGGTTGTCAAACTTGGTTAGCAAAGCTACATTTGTCAAAACGTACAAACATTGAGAAATATTAATCTAAAGGGATTCAAAGGCACCAATTTACAATGAAGCTATTTTCTGGCCTCTGTTATCTTTTTTTAATAGATTTATCTCCTCCACAAGCTCATTTAATGATTTATTTAGCTGCATATTACAACTTAAATAATCTGGCATACCGTATTTTTCGGACTATAAGGCGCATTAAGCGAAACAAAACAGTCAGATAAGTCAAACTTTATTCAACTCATTCACAATAACTCTCAACATTGTTCAGTTGTAGCACATAAAATCGGTTCGATGGTCAATAAGCACAACTAGAATTAATACATAAGGCTCACTGTCGATTTTTGAGAAAATTAAAGGATTATAAGTGCATCTTATAGTCCCAAAAATACAGTATGTTGTTCTTATCCACGACAGTTAGTTTAATGTACAACATCATTTATTTCAATAATTCAAATTAGGCCTTTGAAACAATACATCCCTGAACAAAATGTGTTACACGTAACATTTAATAATTTTTATTGCGAAATGTTAAAATATGCATCAAGAAGTGTCGACTTGTGATCCTTTGCTTGTTTAACAAAACTGTTTCATGCAATTGTTCATTGCAAATGGTTTCTGCTACACAGCCCGAGCTAAATGTTTTATTCTTTTAGTCAGTAAATGACATTATTTCTTCTTTAGATTTATTTAAATTAAAAAAGAAAGCTAAACATGACACAGGGAAGAAGGTAAATAAACTGTAAAATGAATGTCAGAGTACACATAAGGGATTATGTTTTAATCTGTTTCATCGTAGTTATCCCTGCTAAAGAAAAAATATATAAGGTTTTGTTTAACGTCCAAATTTAAATGCGCAAAAACATCATTTATCACTTTGAACTGTGAAGCTCCTCTGCTGCATTATCACCATGTTTGAATTTAGCTCCAAGATGCAGAATATAATCTGCAGTGTCCCATTATGATGACTGTGGTAATAATTGTGTCAGTAAACCTCAAACAATCCAGTTATTTTCTAACCCATACACAGCTTAGTTGGATGTTTCAACACTATTGTTTCCAGACCTATATTTTGTTCTGAAGTATTACTTCTCAGTTTTATCTCAAAGCCGGCAGCCGTTTCAGAATTATGGCATGAAAATATCAAACGCAGCTCATTCTTAAACGAACATTTCACAATCTATGCATTCAACTACACATCAAGTAAAAAAAGTTACACAATTTGATTTGCTTTGGTTCAGAGACAGTGATGATATTTAGAAAATAAAACTAACTACTAATGATTAATCTGTGTGGATCATGAAACATCCCAGATGATCGTCAGCTGATAGGTGAAGGCTTTCTGGTCTTGTTTCCTGAGATAAATTGAGATGCTAATCTACTTAACATCTGGGTCAAAAAACATCTCATCACTTATCCTCCTTTTCCGGTGCTTTCCCACGACCAATGGCTTCCTCAAAGCATGGCTGAAAATCCACTTGGCATCCCAAGTGTAGCGTGAACTAAAGGCCATGCTAACATTAGTCTGAGTTGCCGTCATGTCGTCTCTCGCATTGAAATCGTCACCCAAATATCTGTGCTCCAATAAGTTTGACTTGGCCTCTGACCAGCAGCCACAGAGATGGAGAGAGAAGAGCGAGGAGGAGACAGAGGAGTCAGGCAGGCAGGAGGGTACAGATAGAGAGGGGCGATGGATGACATTGTAATATTCTACTTACCCGGGTTCAGAAAGGACCGGGTGCAGAATGACCTGCGGTGCTCTGCTGGGAGGCGCCTCTGGAGTAACATCTGGAAACACCCGTTACAACTCATCAGAAAATACACTTAAAGCTGGGTTTTGGGGAAAATATATATAGAAAAGGTAAATAAATGTTTAAAATTATCTATTCAAGAAATACTTTAGAGCAGCTAAATGTTTGCCATGCATAGTTCTGGGCCAGAACAATAACCTCACATGGACCATCAGAAATGCTCAAATGTGTCTTTGTTTTAAAGGAGGATTATGAGAGCTGGATTTGCATGTAAATGTTTTTTTTTTGTTTTGTTTTTATGCATTTTTGTTGTTTCAGGAAAACCCATTGGGTTGTCGTACATGAAAGTGCTACACAACTAAAGTTTCACTTGACTCAACAAACAAGCCCCATTACTGGCTCGTTTTACTCTGATGGGTGCAACAAGTGTGAAGTTTCAAAAAAATATTAAAAGGTGTCATTTATAATGCCTTACAGGGTGTACAAACTTTTTCATAAGTGGGCCAAAACTATCCAGATGAAAGGATTTGTGGAGCACAAAAATGTGAATTTAACTCCCCAACGTTTAATATTTTGGAGAAAGGATAAAAGTTTACTAACTTTCATGGAGAAAGTTTTAAACTGTTGTAGATCCAAAACATTAAAAGCCTCATAAACTTTTTTTTTTTTTTGTTTAATTAAAAGCCTTTTGGACCATTGGACGACCCAAAATCTGATTGAGGTTCTGAAAAGTCTTCCAGCTGTCAGTCGTTACAACAGATTCATGAAAGTTTGATAAAGTTGATCAACTCGTATGTAGATGATACCACATTATATTCATTTAAAAATGACCAATTTCCCTCTTGATTATTTTATCAACTGCAACATTTAGTCAAGTTTGATGAATCCTTACCCAAAAGTCTAATTTCTGGTAGAAATCAGTACATCTTTTTGGTGCTTTGTACCATGAAGTGAAAATAAAGATGTGTATTTTGTTTAATATTGCTCATTTTGAGAAGATTGTTTTTCATCCGTTTTGCTGTTAAATCTAAACATTATATAAAAAAAGGATTACCAGAGAATTTGCAAAAAGTCTGCATCGACCTCTTAAGCCTGCTGGACAAAATGATACCATTCTTAAACTGCAGCTGTGGGCCGCGAAAAAATCACTATAAGGGCCGCAAACGGCCCTCGGGCCGCACTTTGGACACCCAAGTCTTAAGAAGTGTTGTGTATTTGTGTTTTTTTTAACAGCTGCTACCAGAACAAAGAAAAAAAATTCCAATTTAAAACATCAAGATCAATTTGTAATAATTATAACAAAATGCAAAAATATTTTTTGTTGTCAGCTACGTGCTAATTGTTGTATGTGGCACCCTATTGTATTTAAGATTAATTTATTTTCTTATAAACACATCATGTTTTCTGTAACACTCAGTGTGACCTTACAAAAGTATATTTGTATCAACATTTAGTGTTTCCAATATTCTCTCCTTTAACATCACAAACATAAAAAAAACGTGACAATGGAAATTAATTAGCAGAACGTAAAATAGAATTAAGGATTAAAATGAGAATCACCCTTTTTTATTTGCTTCATTGTTACATTTTCGTTTAATGATGTGGTAAACTTTACGACCTTTCCATTTTAATCACGTGGATTTTTAAACACAGTCTCTTTAATAACTTCACGTATCAGAGTCAGAGAGTTTTATTTGTCATACACACCACGTGTGGTACATGTGGTGGAACGAGATTATGTACACAGGGTCCCTGTTACATCCCACAATAAAATGCAAAAGAAAAACAGCAATAAGTTCCAAGATATGAACTAAGAAAAACATAAACTAAATATACATTAACTAAATAACTAAATAGCATAAAAACAATATGCTGAACAGCATATTCACTGCATGTTAGATTCAAGCAGCACAGAAACGTCTAAGTGAAAAGTACTTGCCGTACTTTGAAAGCACTAATATTCAACAGGTAAGATGGAGTAAGGTCAGCGTTTGTGTTGTCTGCCTCTGAACGACGTGCCCTGAATGCTGCTGGTGTTGGCACGCTGTGACGGTTTGTGACATAAAGACACAAGCTAAAGTCTCTTTGCAGCGCATTGCATTAGAAACTGGCACAGACACCTCACAGCCACAGGGACTTGTTGTTTTTTTTTTTTTACGTGGAACCATTGTGAATGTTTTTTATGGACTTGCTTCAAAAACCTGCAAGCTGGATGGACTGAAAGCACTCAGTCTGGTCCAAATGGACGTACCACAGATGGCTCAAGTGCTTTTTTTTTTTTTTTTCTGTGAATCTTTACATTCTAGCAAAATGAGAATCTTACACAAATCAAAGTCTGATTGATTTATTTCACCTTTAGAATTTGTCTATGAGCACATTTTATATTATGCTGCACTGCTTATTTTCTAATCTCTTTTTCTTAAAAAAATGCAAGTTTTAGATTTATTAGCCCAAGACTTAGACAAAAAAAAGTGTCCATAGTGATAAGAACTTGTTGCTGCCAGCTGCACAGAAGGTTAATACATTTCCAAGCCCTTGCCTCTCCGGGTCTCTGTTAGTTTACACCTCATGCTTTTCCTCACACCACTCCACATTGTCCTGGCTGTAATAAGCTGCCAAATGAGCAGCTACTGAGTGGGGCTGGTGTTGACAAAAAGCACGGAGCCTGGGCTCTGACAAGTCATTAGGAACCCCAAGGAAGACAAGTGTGAGTGGGTGCAGGGACTGCGAGTCTTTCAGCAGCAAAGGTGAGAAATAAAAAGACTGCTACTGACATCAAAACATGTCTGGCTGCAGCAAAGTATGGGGAATTATTAATCGTGAGGTACTTACCAGGAAAAATGAACTGTTGTTTGTATTTAAAATAACTGGAGGCTGTAAAAGAAGAAAAAAAAGAGCTGAAGTTTTATCTAAAGTTATATGAACTTGTTGGACTTTCTGTTTGTAATTGGGTTTTAATGGAGACGTTAAAAAAATCAAATTTGCTTACAAATACAAACTGGACAGTATGTAATCATAAACATAGATATATTAAGATTAACAAGCCCTCACTGTATAATTGATTTGGCATTTAATGCTAATCTGTAAAATGTTGGAGTCCCACAACAACTAAGAAAGTCCTGAACAATTCTGGCCTGCACCAGCTGAGGAACAAAACCAGAAAATTCTGATTTAATTTGAATAATAAGCTATAAGTATGTATTTCAAACATAATTTGTCAAAACTTAAATAAAAAATATCAACATTTTCTCAGTTTTGTTAACAAGGAAATTGTAAAGGAATATATTTTTCTGATAAATTTCAACCTCTGTGAGAATTGTTTTGGGTTAAAGATGACTTTATTGTCATTCACATGAGGTGGAACAAAATTGTGTACCCAGTTACACCCAAAATAGCAAGAATATAAAAAATAAAAAAAGAAACGGAATACAAGGATCTAAAATATACGCCAAACAGCAATAATATAATATAATATGGTGTATTAAACAGCAGCCTGAACATCTGCATCTATTAAAGAAAATAAAATGAACCAAAAGTTATCAACAAGTTAGAAAGGTTGTTACCAGTTCGTTAATTTGATAAATACATAAATAGACCCACTCAGCAATGGGACTGGTATAAAATGGTGACATTCATAGAACAAGATATTACGTTTTCACACACAAAAGTCTTTGATTTAAAAAATAAAGTTTCCTACCTGTCAGGTTGAACTGTTTTTGTTGCCGCGCTGACTGTGGGGAGGGATGCAGTGGTGAAGGGGGGGTGGCGCTGCTGGGCAAGGGAGGAGCTGGGGAGGACGGAGTGGAGGAGGTGGTGGACGATGGGTTACTGCTGGAGTCTGGCTGGTATGGAACTGGGATGTGATCCTGATCATAAACAAACAAAATAGTCTAAACCCCCAAATAGTTTTAGTTTTAATAGCATTTAACAGCATTCATCACATTTTGTGAAAAAAAAAAAAAGACATTTTGTATTCAGAGTGACTTACATACAAGTCAGAAACACACAAGAAGTGGGCTTTGGTGTCTTGCCTGAGGAAGCTTATTTAAAAAGAACAAATTAAGGATCAAAGCAGCAAATTAAGGAAGAGCTAAATCATTTACCGAGCTACAGTATCCGCTCTTAAATCAAATAAACTCTTTAAATGGTTGAATTTAATTTTGAGCTTATCTTTTGGCATGCAAGACTTGTTTGGAGACTCAAATATATTTAACTGAGCATTTTTCCACTTGTAATATATATTTATCTTTTTCAGTAGCTCCATTCCCATAGATATTTATAAATGCACAAGTAATTACTGTTTTCAGACACAATAAGGATTAAAGTATAAGAATGAGCACAACAAAGGTTTCTTGTGGTCAAAATGATGATGTTTTGGACATAAATAAATTCACTTTAATTGTTTTAAAAGAGCGAACTTTGGAGTTTTTTGACATTCAAGTCAATGCCTATATATTCAAAAGGGCATCTTAGATCAATGCTGATTCCAGGAAGCTACACAAACAATACTTTTGCTCTTTAAACTGTATTAATAATGCTTTTGGTCCAACTCTGATACAAAGTTACTGGTTTTATTTTTAACTTGTCAGGCAGAATGTAGTTTTAATTGCTTTGTTTCAATATGAAAAGCAGAGGGCTGACTTAAACTTGCCTGACAGTAGTAATCCATCACAATGTGTTAAATGCTGACGTTATACTTTCCTGAAAAAGCAACATTATTGTGCTGCCTGTGCTTGTGAGCAAAGAGGATCCTCAAAATGGCAATTATACAAATGAGGATCCAAGAAAACAAGGTCTGCTAAAATCCCTTTGTATTACTTTTTTCAATATTTCACAAAAAATCACAGCCTGTGTTAAACTCTCCTTTTAAAATTAAGCTGAACTCTCTGTTATTTTATTGTATTAACAAACAAAAACCATTCATTTTAAATAGAGAGGCAGCCATGAAATTCACAGTAGAATGATTTTCATCTTGATCCAGGTCACAATGGATTTTATTATTTATTTATTTTTTGACTGAAAACCATAAAAACTCACTTACAGTATATAGAAGTGTGTATATATATATATATACAAATATATGTGTGTGTGTGTGTGTGTGCATATATAAAGGCATTTTAAACCCTTTCCACTCTCTTGCAATATTCTAAACAATGTTTCTAAACTCTAAAGCTCTAAAAGAGACAGAATGTCATGATTTCAGCTCCCTGCCTCCTCTGCTCTTTGCCACCTGCAAGCGCTCTTGGCCACGCCCACTTCTCCGCTCTGCATGCTGAACAGCTGATCAGCTGCAGCAGGAAGTTTGTCCTGCAGCAGTGTGGGTGCAGCAGGTGCTAAATCCATCCATCCATTTTCTTTACCCACTTATTCCATTTTGGGTCACGGGGGTCGCTGGTGCCCATGTCCAGCAATCACTGTGCGAGGGGCGGGGTACACCCTGGACGGGTCGCAAGTCCATCACAGGGCCACATAGAGACAAACGAGACAAACAACCATTCACTCTCTCACTCACACCTAGGGACAATTTAGAGTTACCAATCAGCCTAACATGCATGTTTTTGGACTGTGGGAGGAAACCGGAGTACCTGGAGAAAACCCACGCATGCACGGAGAGAACATGCAAACTCCATCCAGAAAGGCTCCTGGACCGGGGTTTGAACCAGGGACCTGCTTGCTGAGAGGCAGCAGCTCTACCAGTTGCGCCACCGTGCTGCCCCAGGTGCTAAATAATTCAAAATAATTTATTTTAAATAAAAATGTCATGCCGATCGTGCAGCTCATCCATCCTCACGATAGAGTGAGTCTGCAAAAAACGAACCACCAAGTAGTGAGGGACTACTGTATTTTTATACATCTGCTTAAGTTCAAAACTACACTCTTTGTGGACATTGTTGTTTCACAGTGGCAATCCTAATAATGATCTTTACTCCCAAGGAACAAAGCTTAATCTGTGAGGTGTGCCGCCTGCAACATATTCAGTGTATGAAAACAAATCCGTCTGTGTAAACTTCAATATTGCTGATGATATTTTCACACCATTTTCTTATCCACTGGGGGGGAAAAAGAAAAATATGACACGTTAGGCAGGTTCCACACATACTATAATCCATGCTTCATCCGTCATGCTTACCTTGTTGATTTTGTTGGTTTTGGGGAGCGTCTGACTGATGTGCAGGTCTGTGTACCTGAGCGGGTTGTTGATGTCACATGGCACTGATTCAGTCCGTACCAGACGAGCTACTACAGACAAAAAAGATAAAGAAACTATAAAGCATTTATAAAGTGCTGTGCAATACTGTGCCTAATAGCTGAAGGGGACTTTGGTATATGCACTGCTTCTAAAGTAAAACCTGTTCACATGATCCTTTCTTTAATACTGCTGGTGTGCAATCACATACAGAGTTATTATCAATACACTTCTTAAACAGAATAATAAAAACCCATCATGTTTGCCTACTAAAGTGAAGAAGAAAAAAAAGTCTAATTAGTGGCTTTTACCTTGAGTCGTTCCTTGGTTATCTTATTTAGAAAGAAACAAAGAAAAAATAGGACAAAACAATGTTATTCTCACAGTAAATGGAATGCTTTATTTTTTGATTTTTTTTTATTGGTGTCAGTGTCAGTAAAACTGATGTTTCACACCATTATATTTGTCAAGTATAAATCAATTAATTAATCAACAGGTAACCTTCTGTTTGCCTAAACCAGCAATCTGCTTTATTCTCATAAATGGAAACAAAACATAAATAAATAAATAAATCTCTCGTTACGAAAGCTCAGAAACTGGAAAAGGAATAAATGCATTAATAAAACGTGGATAGACGCGAGCGCAGGCTGAAGGCATCTGCACTCTATTACTTGGGAGCCGTGCGGGTTGAACAGCAGGTGGGCTGCTGCCGTCTTGCTGAAACGGGTCTTCATTGTAAAAGAAGTAGCAGCTTATGTTACTGAAGATCCTCTGAACAGACCTATTTCACTATTAACAACTCCATCACAAACATAAGTCCATGTGCACTCATGCACATATACATACACGGAGGCTCACAAATCATAATATTTCAAATTGTTCTTTGATTAAATAATTAAAATGGACTTGATTACCCTGTCAAGCTGGAATCAGTTATTCTTTAGGGTTTAATCCACTGATATGTTTTCAGACACAAAACAAATTTTAAGATATGAGTTTGTCTAAATCATTGAGGCCAGTAATAATTTTGGAAAGTTTTGGAAATGGAAATGATTAGAAAAATAACATTAAATTTAAATAATAAATACCAACTTGACTTAACAAATGTAAACAAAGCATGTTCCAGTAAAAAAAAAAAAAAAAATATATATATATATATATATATATATATATATATATATATA